CATAAAAAAATGAAAGTAAAAGCAGAAAGTGACAACTAAGGAGGGTAAACAACGCAAAGTCACTGGTCACAAAGTATAACCACACAAAGTAACCTCTGCAGCATGCATTACTTTTTGTTTCGTTTATTTTAAATGCTGACCAAGAGAAAACGGCCAATGTTGAAACAGGTAATTAAGGTCTAAAGAAAAATCTTTACCCTAATCTTTAAGTAAATGCCTAAAGTAAAAAGTACTTTTTTTTCAAACTGCAGGCAGTTTCTGCAGGCATTAGCAGGGATTACTGTTTAAAGGTATTCATTTCAAAGTCATAGACAGCCGACAAAAAGGTTATAAAGTAATAAAACTAATCTACATAATATACTTTTAAATCAAGTGTTAAATTAAAAATCTGTATGCAAAATTTGGAACCAAAAGTCAACTATCACATGTGGTTGCTTACCTGCATTTTACTTTGCAATTTGTACCTTTAATGGAAAACTTAATCTAAGGTTCCCTATCCTTCAAATACAAAAAGTCAAAGAAAACATCTTTATTATTAGGAAAATTAGCATAATAAACACGATTTTACCCATTTTGTCACATAAGTGGCCTATTTTCCTTTGAATTTGGCTCAGTCAAAGTGAAACAGGAAGTGACATCAAAGGGGAACTCATTAATAAAATAATCTCTCTGATCTTTGTTTATTAAAACAATATTATTTAAACTTTAACTCTTCGTCTAACTTTGATAGCGACTCAAAATAATCTAAAGAAACATCAGATTCTTCTCTACAGTCCGTGTTGTTAGTTGTTGTAACAACACTCTGTTCACATGCAGACATTCCCCTTTGACATCACTTCCTGTTTCTTCACATGCAAATATCTCAACAACTGTTCATCTCAGCGGCGTGAAATTTGTTTTGCAATATGCTATCAATATTATTATCTCTCCAAAAATGCGTTCATGTTTATTACAAAAATGTGACATCACAGGCACTTTAAAACACTCCCTTTCATAAAACCAAWAGGTAAAGCTCACCTTGTCTAAATCTATACATTCAAAATCAATTAACACATGACTGTCTTGTAATATTTCACTTATACAGCTGAGTTAGATGATAGTAATAACAAACCAGATTAAACAGTTTCATTAATTAAGTGTGGAAAAAAACTCAGTTTTTAGAAGCTGTAGTGTTTTTCTTATTCGGTTTTTGACACCTCTAATAGGAGTGACACTGTGAACCATTTTCACTGTCTTTTTTTTTTTTTCATTGTAGAACAACAGATAAAACGTGTTAATTTCTTCGCCCCATCATTCATGGTCACACATTTTCTCTAAAACATCATTCATAGTTCTGTAATTACACTACACCTCATTCACTGTCGGCATCTGAGCTTCTAGGTTTGCTCAACTATTTTAACTCATGAGCACTGTTYGAATTCTGCTTTCAAATGAAATACTGGGTTTGGAAGGCAGCGATTGAAATGCTGTGAAAAATATCTATTTAAAAAAGTTGACGGGACTTCTGAGACTGTACAGGACAGTCCAGAGTGTGTCCTGGGTGATGTGGGCAAATATGCCTTCCCGTGTCTTTGGGGAGGGAAGTGAGTGTTTGTTAGGAGTTTTAAAAGAGAAATCCCAACCACTGAGTGATCCTACAATTTCCCAGAGTAACTGTGGAGTCACCGGAGCAACAGCTGAGACACTGGCACCATGTTTCAAAGTGAAGCACCCCTCSATACACAGACACCACCCCCACCCCATCGGCCTGCTCATGACAGGTCAGCAGATCTCAGGAGAACTTGGACAAAATTGCCTCTCACTCGCACATAAAACGGAAAAGACCCTYTGCCAACTCTGAACCGACTGAATATATTTAAGGTTCATTTTTAAAGAGTAAGTGATGAAAGTGACAAAATTCTAAAAGGCAAGGACTATGTTCTTTTAGAAAACCATAAAGCTTATAAAGGATGTGAGTTAACAGTGTCAAGAGAGTCTATTTTAACTGTGGTCTGCATTAGTGGAAATATATATATATAT